TCTCCTGTAGCTGGTTGGTTGCTTTACTTCTATACTGTACCTTTTATGTGTAGCGTGGGCAGCTGGGGAGTTTAAAAACCCCTGCAAAGAAATCTCAAAACAAAGGAATGAAGCCCTGGCCAGTTTGGCTCAGCGGTTAGAGCGTCGGCCTGCGGACCAGAGAGACCCAGGTTCAGTTCCCGCTAAGGGCACGTACTTCGGTTGCAGTTTGTCCCCGGCCCTGGTTGGTCCTGCGGGTGGCAGCCACTCAATGTGTCCCTTTCACGTCGATGTTTCTCTCTCTCTCTCTCTCTCTCCCCTGCTCTATCTGAATAAAAAATGGAAAAATGTCCTCAGGTGAGGATAAAAAAAAACCCGAAAAACAAAAAACAACAACAAAGGAATGAAGAGAGTACGGGAAAGAAGTATTTTTTTTTGTCTCTCTCTTAATGAGCGAGAACAATGTGCTATCGCAATGAATTCCCTCAAGCTTTATGGTCAAGGGCACGTACCTCAGTTGCAGTTCAGTCCCTGGCCCTGGTCGGGGTCATGCAGGAGGCAACCGATTGATGTGTGTCTCACACTGATGTTTCTCTCTCTCTCTCCCCCTCTCTCTCTTTCTCTCTCGCTCTCTCTCTCCCTCCCTCACACTCTATCTGAGGATAAATGGGAAAATATCCTCAGGTGAGGATTAAAAAATAAAAATAAATAAAACCAGAAAAACCCGTGTCAGTAGAAACCACCACCTCAGGTATTGGGAGCCAGGTAGCAGAAGCAGAGGGAACTGTGGTTTATTCACCTGTTAACAAACCTTTGAAGTCATTGTCTGATTTTATCTTTGCAATCAGCCTGTGAGGTAAGAATTAGTTTCTCCATTTACAGATGAGAAAACTGAGGCTCAAAGAGTTGACATAGATGTACCAACGTTACATAGCAAGAAAGCAACAGAATTGTCATTGCGAACCCAGATGGCGTGTTTCCGACGTACATGTCCTTTCTGTTCTTCCCTGTTGGTCATAAGGACCCGGGGCCTAACCGAGTCATGTAGAGCAGGGCTGTTCGGAGTAGCCCGTCCACGAACAGTTTGCAACCCCCTGTAGTGAGACCAGGAGTTAGCATCAGAATGGAAACCTACGCAGAACTTCCTTCACGGGAAGACTCTTGCCTTGAAAGCCAGTGTCGGCTGAACTGAACAGTGTGCTCAGTGAGGGAGTAGCAGAGGTGTTGCAAGAGAGCAAGGTTCGCCCTGGCCAGTTTGGCTCAATGGTTGGAGCATCAGCCTGCAGACTAGTCTCAGGTTTGATGCCGGTCAAAGGCACGTACCTCAGTTGTGGTTTGGTCCCTGGCCCTGGTCGGGGTCATGGGAGAGGCAATCAATCGATGTGTTTCTCTCTCTCCTTCCCACTCTGCCTGAAAATAAATGGAGGTCAGGAGAGGATTTAAAAAAAAAAAAAAGGAAAGCAAGGTTGTTGCTTTGTGGGACAGGCCCCTTATCACAGATTTATAACAAACAGTTTGGGGAGCGGCAGGGGTCCTCGGACCACACTTTGAGTGGCAGTGTTCCCAAGAAGGGGCTGTGACCACAGTGAACCTGTGGGGTCACATCAGCCAGCCCTGGATCTGAGCCCCTTTGGAAGGGCCTCCTTCGCCCCTGCCTAGTTGATGACAGTGTGTTACCCACTGCAGAATTCACAGTGCCCACAATGAAAAGGTTCGACATTGCCCACGCAAGGAGAGCGCAACGGTCCTGCAGTATAGACAGACTCCTGGCTCAGTCCTGCCACTTCCTGAAGTTGTGGTGTGAAGGACAAAGCGGAGTTCACGTGTGAGCACTGAGACCGGTCATCAGGGTGGCCTGGGGAAGGTGTGTCAGAGCGAGCTTAATAGCACAGGCCTGGGAACTAGGCCGGGTTGGTTTGACTGGTGAAAGGGTCTACCTTAGATGTCTGTTGTGAATAGTGTCAGGTGCTTAGCACAGCCTGACATGCTCAGTAAGTGGCACCTTTATTATTGGGATCAGCCTTACAAGGAAGCAGGTACGTACAAGGAGCAATGTGATGTTAACCGAGAGAGCATCTTATTCACAGTACATGAAATGCCATCTTAAGCTGTAATTTCTTCACATCTTAAAGGTGATTTTAAAATGCAAATACTCTGGAGGTCTTCCTATGTTTGGCTAGTGCGAATAGAAGTCAGGTTAGTTTTCTACTATGTATTTTGCCGATTATCAGAATGATCATTTTACTTGTAATTTTAAAAAAGTATCTACATTCCTGGAAAGAGGAAATCTGGGCTCAGCTCATTAGGAATTAGCTTATGTGGCAGTGTTCCCAAAACGGTGTCTCATTTTATCATAGTGTTTGCCACATGTGCTCTGTTTTGTTTTGTTTTTTAAGTATATCAAATAGAGTTGGGCTAGGCACCTCTGAAGATTTACAAAGCACATCAGCATCATGTTTAAAGGCCAGAAACAATTCTACAGAAAAGAAACCTTTGTGTAAGCTAGAATTTCCTAGACACATTGGACCTGGGACCACTTGTGTTAGACAACGTGTATTCGTGTGCCGTGGGACACGTTTTGGTTTAGGAGCACACGCTGACTTAAGAGATTATTTTTCAAACTTCGTAGTTGACTGAGACATTCAGACTCTTTAGGAACAGGACACGGGTTGGGGACTTGGAAGAGGGACCTAAAAGAGGAGGCAGGAGAATGACAGTGAACTTGGTCCTACTTGGAAAGAGCCAGGAAGAGAGATCACATGCCCTTGAGATTAGTCACATACTAGCCACTGACCTGTGTTGACCTCGAAGCAGTTAGCCCACCTGGTCCTTGGTCCTCCCTTCTGTCTCAGGGGGGGCCAAGGCAAGATACTTTTAGGGTCTCCCCTAGTTCAGCTAGCCTGCTCTCCAATTCAGTACTTTTGTTTTGGGAAACATGTGTGATATTTTTTATTTGATAGATGTGGTGATGGTATAAGTTTGTTTTCCCTTTTTAGAGGTTTTTAACATTCTTTCATGGACCTGGGACTGTCCCAAAGGTCAATGAAAGTGTTTGATAGAGAGCATTTTCGTAATTTTTTTCTAGTTTGAAGATGGTTACTTGTTACTGTTCAAAGTCTTTATCTAGACATGGCTTCTTAAATAAAAACTGAATTACGATTATGTTTTTTAAAATAATGGGAGTTTGCCCTGCCGGTTTGACTCCGTGGTTAGAGCATTGGCCCGTGGACCAATGAGTCGCAGGTTCAATTCTGGCCAAAGGCACCTACCTCAGTTGTGGTTGGGTCCCTGGCCCTGGTTGGGGTCGTGCAAGAAGCAGCCCCTTGATGTGTCCCTTTCATATTGATGTTTCTCTCTCTCTCTCTCTCTCTCTCTCCCCCTCCCACTCTACCTGAACAAAACAGTGGAAAAATGTCCTCAGGTGAGGATAAAAAATAATAATAATGGGAGTTATTTTAGATGGACAGATGGACTCATGCCTTCATCGCCTCATCTTTTACGTCCACAAGCACACTGAATGAAGCGGTCAGCAGCGGGAGGATTGGAGGGTACCTCCTGCTCAGTGGCTAACTGGAACAACTCTATAAATCAGCAATTGTATTTCACTAATGTGCTCGCTGTTGACTCAGGTTATCATGGTCTTAGGGAGGGATTAGTGAGTTTTCAGGAAACCAGGCCCGCATGCCAGGTGGTCAGCTTTTGTTATGAGATAAGCTGGAGAGGGTTCAGAGCTCTGTGGACTTAGTTGGCTGACAAAGGTGGAGAATAAAAAGAGATCTAGCAGGCATTACTAACCTCGGAATAATAGGTGTGCTTATCCATGGGTTTTTAGGAGTAGTAGGTGGTCATGCATCACTTTTAAACTTGCTCACTTTTCAATTATATAAGGGAGGCATTTTGGTTAAATAGATGGTTATATTGTAATATAATTACTCATCCATTATAGCAATTCCAACAGTACTGCTTTGGACATAAAGTATATCAATATTGCTTGTAAGCCGAATGGAATACTGATACAACAATTATTTTCCCACTCGACAGCTTGGGTTTCCCCCCCCCCCTTTTAATTTACACTTTGTGTAAAATCAAAGTCTTTTCCTAAGATGGTATGATTATGCAGATTATGAGGTCTCCCCCGCCCCTCTTTTTTTTTACCAAATAGAAGCACTTGGAACTTGTTAGATGATATCATCAAAGTTAATTAAAAAAATTTTTTTTCTTTATTGATTTTAGAGAGAGAGAAGAAGAGAGAGGGAGAGAGAGAGAGGACATCGATTGGCTTGTCCCTATTGAGGATTGGGCCCACAACCTGGGCATGTGCCCTGACCGGGAATCGAACTGGCGACCTCTTGGTGCACGGGTCGAAGCTCAACCACTGAGCCACACTGGCTGGGCATCAGCAGTTACTTTTTATGAACTTTTCAATAATACAAAATAGATTTGAATTAAAATTATTTTAAGTTTTTAGTTAATATTCATTCTTTGGAACTGGATTCAGCCTGGAGAAATAAAATCTTCACTCTAATAATCTTTCATCTTTCTAATGTAATTGATATATATTTGCTATCTTTAAATCTCCAAGGGGATGGCCATACCTGACCTAGGAAAAGGGACATGGGAATTAGATACCTTGATGGAAGGGTTTAGAGAAGGTGATTATCATTTTATGACAACAGGTGAATAGCTTGCAACCAGAGAATTCATATTCCCTATGATTTTCTAAGAAGTACCACTCATTTAGCACAACTGTCATAGTTTTCCAATCGCACCTATTCTCTTATTAGTTGTTAAGTTGTATTTGGATTTTTATTTTTTTTAAATATGTTTTTATTGATTTTTTTTTTTTTTTTTTAGAGGGAGAGAGGAAGGGAGAGATAGAAACATCGATGTGAGAGAGAAACATAGATCGGCTGCTTCCTGAATACCCCCTATTGGGGATCAAGCCCACAACCCGACCAAAAATCGAACCAGGGCTTCTCAGTTCATGGGGTGACGATCAAGCCACTAAGCCACACCGGCTGGGCTGTATTTGAACTTTTATACCTAAACAAGAGCAGGATTTCAAGTGGCAAGAAGGTAAGTGATGAACACACTTTCTTAGTTAAATGAAAACAAAGACTTTAAAAAAAGAAAATCAAACTAGCTAAGATGATATGAGGTCTGAGGAAACTCTAAGGTCTCAGGTGCAAAGAAAATGTCCATTTTTAAAAGAATTCCCCACACTTCCTTTTAGGCTAAGCTTTTGAGTTAAGAATAAAGGCAAAATGCAATGCAATAGCCTGAAAAAAGAAGTATGTGGAGCCACAGCCTTCAACCTATGTACTAGTTCGGAATTTTAATGAGAAACATGCATTCCCCACTGTGCAGCCTGGGAGGGGAGAGCAGTGGCTGGCATTTCCTTTGCGAGCCTTGGGCTTCAAGGATTCGAAGACCCGGATTCTTCTCCCGGTCCCTCCACCAGTGAGTTTTGTCACCGTGTACAAATCATGTCATTCGCGTGGCCTTGGCTTCCTCTAGGACTGTGTTGACTGTGTCACTGATCTTTGAGGCCATTTCACCCCATTATTGAAAAGTTCTATGATTTTTATGGGTAGTTATTTTCTCATTACTAGTTTTCTGACCATAGCTCCTTTGAGACCTTGTATTTTTGCACTTAAACTAACATGTGGTGTCCTCTCAACCACCTGAACAGATAAAGGTTTATTGCAACTTAATTTTTGATAATCCTGGAAATGGAGAGATTGCATGTTACCAGACCCAAGCTAGATGGTGACCCGAGGCTCCCTAACTTTCAGAAAGTTTTACCACGGATGTATTCTTGTGATGAAGTTTCAGGCCACAAGGTTCAGGTCCTCAGAGAACTCCAGGACCGAACAGGAGCAAGTCACTTCAAACCACCCCCGATCCTGATAAACACCTGACACTTCCAGAAATTCTCACAAACTGGGTCATAGATACAGGCCTTGATCTCATCACCGGTCCAGGAAAAAACAAACGACCCGGGCGCGAAGCAGCCGTGCGGCTCGATCCGACCCGGAGGGCGCTTGCGTTAGGGAAGCTCAAGTGTGAACAGACAATGAGGGTTTCCTTCCGTTCGGGGGACACGCCGGTTTACAGCCATTGACGGGGAAGAGCAAACAAGCCGCCTCGACCTGGGTTGAACTTCCTCGTGGTGAGGACCGGCTGACGGGTTCCCAGCAGCACAGCCGAGGACGCAGCTCAGGAGCCCGTGCAGCCGGCTCGGGAGGCGCACGTGCGCCCGCCCACGTCGCAGGGCCCGAGCGGGAACACGATACGTGCTCCAAGCATCGAATGGCCTCGCTGTCCCCCTGGGCTTCCTCCTCTGTTACATAACATCCCAGCACAGCCCCCACAAGGACCCAAACAGCATTTCCTTAGCTGTGGCTGTACTCACCCCACGGGGGAAATGAGATGAAGGCTAGTGGGTTTTCACTACCCTGTGGTACCTACACAGCCGACGAAAATCACAGTGATTGTTTCCACGTCAATGATCGTTTCCCCAAAAGTATCCAACCTGATTCCCAGCTTCAGGCCCTTTCTCTTCATTGCTTTATGGGATTCAGAAATCTCTTCCTATCCATTCAGGGGGAGCAGGAGGAAGAAAATAGCCGTAGGAAAAGAACATCTATAAACTGGGTAACCAAGAGAGACGTTTAGAAGAGCTGAGAAAAGTACTCCCCGTGGATCAGACTATTAAATCAATGTGAAAAGCAGGACAGTCACGTTCATTAAGTTATGGAACAAATATTTATCGAGTGCTGAGTGTTTGCAGCAGCCTGGAGAGGACCTGGGGTCTAGGGCTTTCTCCCTCCTTTCTGAACGGGTTCAGCCCTCGCCTGCCCTCCCTGGGCCCAACACCCCGCAGGGACCCCTGCCCCTCCCCCTGCTGCTCCCTCTGCAGCCTCCCTGGGCCGGTGTCCTAACTCCACTGGCTTTGCCTCTCAGCTGGCCGACGCTGCTCCTGCCCCTGGACCCATCGCCCTCCACGTTTCCTTAAAGGCGATGACTAGACGAGCTATCCCTGAACCACATTCTCCTAAAACCCTGTTTTCCCCTCTGTAGCATTCTCTCAGGATCCCCTGTACCATGCATTTCGTGGCACCCTGGCTGCTATGGAGGGAACCTCCCCAAATCCCTGTGTTGAAGCCCCACCCCGCAAGGTGATGGTGTTGGCCAAGCCAGTTAGGAAGGTAAAGAGCTTCATGTTCCCGGGCACCGCGCCTCCTTCAGGTAAAGGTCAGCCCCGGCCCCTCAGCGCTCCTGGCGGTCACTCTGACCCTCTTCCTGTTAGGACCTGCTCCCTGTGCTGTCCTTTTCCATTTCCCACATTCCAGCAGTGACTCCCAGGGACCACTGTCAGCTGACCCCTAGATTCTCGGCTCCTTGCTCATCTCAGATTCCTGACATATGGCTCCCTCTTGTGGATGTTGGCTCGGGTTTGCCCCACTGGTCTCCAACCAGCTTGGCTCTGATCCACCCCATTCTTAAGGGGGTAGAGGGGCAGAGAATGGAATTGTAATAAAGTAATGCGCTAGAATAGAATTATGACTAGGGCACCTCAGATGTTAGGAAGGCCTGAGTCTGTCTGGGAGAGTCAGGTTGGGCTCCACAGAACTGTGAATTGTGAAGGAAAAAATGGGACCTTTTCAGGCAGAGAAGAGGAAAAGAGTTAGATCATAGGCACAGTGCGCTGTTGGTAACCAGGTGGACGAAGCTAGGAGAAAGGGAGTAGTATCCTAAACAGAGTTCAAGCCAGGTTTCTGGTGTCAGCAACTGGGTGCCGTGCCCCATATTAAAGAACATTGAGAGTCAGGAATAGGCAGGTATTGCTCTTGGTTTAACATAGATAATGAAAATTACTACTGTAAATTCATATACTTAAATATTTTAAACACATACTTGAATATTTGTAAATATTATTTACCTTCAGATAACTGGTAAAAATAATCTTTTGGCTGTCAGTAAACAAGTTTCTCTAAAATCTTTTATCAGGACACAATTTTTGGCTTGAATATATTCTTTTTTTTTTTTAACCTCACCCGAGGACATTTTTCAATATTTTGTTCAGATAGAATGGGAAGGAGAGAGAGAGAGAGAAACATTGACGTGAAAGGGACACATCAAGTGGTTGCCACCCACATGACCCAACAAGGGCCGGGGACAAACTGCAACCAAGGTACGTGCCCTTAGTGGGAACTGAACCTGGGTCTCCTTGGACCACAGGCCAATGCTCTAATCACTGACCAGGGCTACATTCTTAGAATAATAACCATATTTTTTTTTCTTTATTGATTTTTAGAAAGAGAAAGGAAGAGGGAGATAGAAACATCGATGAGAGAGAACATTGACTGGCCACCTCCTGCACGCCCCCCACTGGGGATCTGGCCCACAACCTGGGCATGTGCCCTGACTGGGAATCGAACTGGCAACCTCTTGGTGCATGGGTCGATGCTCAACACTGAGCCACACCAACCAGGCAATAACCATATTTGGGGTTAATAATAACCATATAATAATAACCCTATTCTTCTGTAACATAGGTTTTTGTATTTGACATTCAATAAGAGTGTGTTCACCTTCTTTGAGGTGCAGTCCTACCATGGTGAAGATCATGATACACTGGTCCTATTTAGTACACTTGTCCTGGAAAATTTGCAACAGCGACCCTGGTTTCTGTCTTGTTATACACTGCGGAGTGTGAGTAGCTCTTGCAAAGTGTATTTGATCTTAGAATTGATGGCACTGAATGTGTTAAGAATATCAGTGGCTGTCAGACTGTGCCATTGTTGGGCAGAATTTTCACGGGAGTTGAAATACTGACACACCTCAAGCACTCAAGGTTAAGTTCAAGGATATGATAATAGGCTAAAGCGAGTTAGTATATATTCCTTGAAAATTGTCTTTATTTGGCGTGACTTTTTCTTGGCAGATAGATGATGTAGTTTTACTTAAATTGAGGTAGGTAGTCTCCCCAGAGGAGAGGAATATCTCAAAAGTAGAGTGTATTATCCATCTTACCTTATTATGAAGTTGATTTTTTTATTGGTACTTAATTTGGAGAGGAAAACTGAAGAGGTTCGGTATGCTAAGCATGAGGTCTCCTCCTGACAATGTCTTGGGACATTGCAATAGACCTTCAGTTTCCCTTCATTCATTGTCATTGCCTGATTGGCATTGTTTTTTTTTTTTTTAAAGAAGCATGGGCTTCCCAAAAGAAATCTTTATAGACAAATTATGAGAGTTTTTTTTTCTTTTCTTTTCTAAGTAGCTGCCACCATACTATATTTGCTTTTATTGGATTTTTTTGAAAAGCCTATTTAGGAAAAAAAAAATGCTTACTTTGAAAAACCTTTGGGGGAACTCACATATGAAAAAATTCTTACTATCACTGTAAAAGATTCCCCAAAATAGCCTCTGATGAATGGCTACAAGCATTTTCTTAGATTTAGAATTCTCACAAACTTGAATTACTTCAATGGGATATATTATAGAATAACCCTTTTGTAACTCAATTGAAATGTAAAAGATCTTTTTCAAATGAATGTTCAAAGAAACAGATGGGTCAAGTACTGAATTTGAAGTTTAAAAAGCTTACACATTGCAATAAAATAAAAAGCAGCATGACTTTGCCTGCTTGGCTTTCACTGCCCTCAAAGTCCTTTCAAACTTTGAAAAGATATCAATTTCCAACTGTTATTGGTTGCTCATTAGATTTATGTTACTCCGTGACACGGTCCATAAAGAAAGGATAAGATGTGAAATAGACCAATCACAAGCCTTGGTGACATGCTCAGCAATCCTGACAATTAAGTAGAAATTCAAGTGAATTAATAAATTGTTAACACCACTGTTGACTTCAGCTATCATGCAGTTTCACAATTTCACAGATGACAAAAAGTAACTTGTACAAGGTTAGTGGCAACGTGGACCCTAGAACCTCACTACTTTCATCGCTCAGGGCAAAATGCTTGCTTTCTTCTTTTCTATTATTGTGCCCCGCCCCCCCCCCCCCATGCTTTCGAAATGAGTACTCAAAATACAGACTGATTCGTTAGTTTTCAAAGGATCATATAATGGAGGGACTTGCAGGATGTGTAAAGGAACCTGGAGTTACCGGTCACATTTATATGGGAAGCTTTTCATTCCAAACCCTGCTAGTTTTTGCTTATGTATGTCATCTCCCAGTCTCTTCATCTCATTTTTATATTATCTAGTTACATAATTAATAGACTTGCTCACTGTGTCATGTGGAAGTTGGTTCGGAGGTTCTTACATTTAGATTGTAGACTTATTGGAGCATATGTTTATACTTACGGCTTTGAAGTCCTTTCTTCCACTAAAAAGGAAATACGTTGCAGAATGGTCTATAGCTCCTGGCAAGAATACTATTTCAACTGCTTTCTGTTTTTGTTTTTTTTTTACCAAGGATCTTTTTTCTTGAGTCTGGTACAAATTATGATTCCTAACACTGGATTTATTTTTATAGAAAGCCCAACTTATCTTAGAAACTACCGTGGACACAGTGAAACCTGAGGTCGGAGGCCGATGCACCGCGGTTCCCAGGAAAGTGCTCTCCCTCCCCAGTTCCCAGCACAGTCCTGTGTGATCCACCGAACACTCTACTGCTGTTGCCGCAGATAATGAAGAGTTGTAGTCAAACAGAGGCGGGACTATCCGGAGGGAAGCCAGAGGTTTCACTCGTAAGTTAACAACGGGATGTATCAACCTTCTTCCATGTTTTCACTCTGGACGGTGTCCAAATTGGCAAGCCCTGGGGAAAGATAATCTTATTCATTAATCCTCAGCCCCTCATTTCCCTTGATCAAGTCAATGTACATCTGAAACTCCTAGAGCTACCTCCAGTGAAGTAAGCACCATGCCGAATATTTTAGGTACATGCTCTTCATAGAAATACATGGTCCATTCAAGGTACAGGACAAAGAGAGGATTCTATAGCAACTATCAAACATCTGCGTTGAGGCTCGTGATGGGGCTTTAAAGCTGAAGGAGTCTCCACCTGGGGCGCTGTTGGCATTTAGAAAGCTCAATCCTTTGTTGTGTGGGAAGCCCCCACGAGGCAAGATGTGTGGTAGCACCCTGACCACCAAGTACCCATTAGCACCCACCAGTCAACAGTGCGACTTTCCCATCTACATATTCAAATGCCCACTAGAGGGCTGGTTCCCTCCCATGTGGAGATGAGATGATGCCCATCCTCTCTCTACTCAAACCTCGCTCTATAAAGAATTTCAGGGGAAAGATCTCAACTTTTTTGTCCTGAGCTCCCTCCCTGAGTGACCTAATGAACGGGGCTCTTCAGGCTGCCCCCGGGTGAGGAAGCTGAGGGTTAGGTCCAACCCACTCCCTTTCCTCCCGCGAACTTGAGGCACAGCAGCGCCTCCCCACAGGCTGTAACGAAGCTGCCGCGGAGCAGTGGTTCCTGAACTCGAGTGTGCCAGCGACCCACTGGGAGTGTTTCGTACAATGTAGATCTAGTGGGTTTGAGCCAGTGCCCAGAACCTGCATTTCACGGAATCACTTCAGACAAATGTATTCTAGTTGCCGCCTGTCCACCTTTTCTTTCTTTTTCTTCCTTCCTTCCTTCCTTCCTTCCTTCCTTCCTTCCTTCCTTCCTTCCTTCCTTCCTTCCTTCCTTCCTTCCTTCCTTCCTTTCTCCTCCTCCTCCTCCTCCTCCTCTTTGGTACGTGCCCCTAGTGGGAACCGAACCCGGGACTCTCTGGTCCACAGGCCAACGCTCCAACCGCTGAGCCCAACTGGCCAGCGCCACCTTTTCTATATATACTCTCTTCGATTTCAACTCCAGGAAAACCCTTACAGACTGACTGGCAGTCAACTGCCTTTAATAACCCCGTGTGGGCAATGGGAAGGTTCTCGGATATGCTGAAGATAGTATTAGAGGAAGAGAAAGCAGTGGTCTTGTCTTAGGTATGTCTTTGGCCAGTGGGTCAGAGCTGAGACTTACCTAAAGGAAGAGGAAATAAACAGCCCGGTTCCCCAGAGTGGCCACAGTTTATGAGACGTCTGTACCTTGACGGGAGAAAAACCGTGTAGGAAGATGTGGGGATGCCCTCGGCACGGTGAACAGCGGGGGAGAGAAATGCAGCAGTAAGAGGAGAACACGGAACGTTGGAATGAGCTTTCCGATGGCAATAAAGAAACGGGAATCAAGGACAGATTTCGAGAAAGAACCTTATGAGGGGTTTTTATTTTAGAGGAGAAAGGGTATTCTTCAACCTATATCAATCTCTCTTTTTTAAAAAAACTTTTTCCTTTATTGATTTTAAAGAGAGAGGAAGGGAGAAGGAGAGAGAGAGAAACATCGATTGGCCGCCTCCTGCATGCCCCCCACTGGGGATCAGGCCCACAACCTGGGCATGTGCCCTGACTGGGAATTGAACCAGTGACCTCCTGGTGCATGGGTCGGCGCTCAACCACTGAGCCACACCGGCTGGGCTCAATCTCTTTCTATTTAATACAAATCTAAGAGAAACCCCTGTGTATCCTGACTAAAGCTCTTCCTATGCTTAGACCTCACAGATTATTGCCTGCATATGAACTGCATTTTTTCCTAATAGTGTGTGTAATTTTAAAAATAACACCCATTTATAGAGCACCATGTGCGAGACACTTTACAACCTATATCTTATCTTGTTTTCAAAGACGGGTATGATTCTTCTCCACTTCAAAGCAAAGCGAAGTGTGGTTCAGGGAGGTTAAAACACGGCTCTGGACAGATTCCCATTCAAATCCCAAATGCGGCTGATTCTGATCCCGTGCTCTTAGCTCTTTGTCTCACTTCCCCTTTAAAACGATACCCTAGCCTGGCTGGTGTGGCTCAGCAGTTAGAGCGTCAGCCCATGGACCGCAGAGTCTCCGGTTCTATTCCAGTCAAGGGCATGTGTCTCGGTTGCGGTTCGGTCCTGGCCCTGGTCTGGGTTGTGCAGGAGGCAGCCAGTCGATGTGTCTCTCTCTCATCGATGTTTCTTCTCTCTCTCTCTCTCTCTCTCTCTCTCTCTCTCTCTCTCTCTCCCTCACACTCTATGTGAAGATAAATGGGAAAATATCTTCAGGTGAGGATTTAAAAATAAATAAAAATGAAATGACACCCTAATATTTGCTCAGGTTGAACGTGTTCCCACATCTTCACAGGTAGAAACTGGGCGGTGCTTCTCCAGGGGAGGCCCCCAGCTCGGCAGAATCAGCGCTGCTTGGCAACCTGTTAGAAATGCAGGTTCTCTGTCCCTGTCTCAGGCTTGCTGGCCCAGAAGCTGGGGTGGCAGTGGCCTGGGCCCAGCCATTGCATCTCCCAAACCCTCCTGTGATTCCCACGCACACGGTTGGAGACCGGCCGCCTCCGGGCTTGAGAATCGAGTGGCCCTGTTGCCCTCTGAGCTGGTCACGACGGGCGTCATCCAGGGGCCAGCCCTTCAGAGGGCCCCCACCCTCTCAGGCCGCAGCGACCCAGCCCGTGGGTGACCCGAACGTCCTCTGCAGGTTTTGTGTGGGTGACCATGCGGTCACCTCCGGGTGCACTGGTTAGGGACACGGGGAGCATCCTGGTTTAACCTGGCTGTTGTGGTGGAGGCCAAAGGTCCCCGTGCTTTGGGGTGATCGTTTTCGTGTTTCTCCACGTCTGCTTTCGTCCGGAACAGGAGGTTCTGAACGACCGGGGAGCCGGCTCCGGGGGTTTCCGGACTCCCTGTGACCCGAAGCAGCGGAGGGGACAGATCTTCCTTGCTTCACTTCCCGTTCCAGCTCCGAGTCAAGGTGCGCAGGATGCCAGGTCCCCGGGGTGCAGGTCGGCATCCCCAACTTCGCTGCTTACACAGATAAACAGGTGGACGCAGCAGGTGACTGCGGCGCAGAGATAAGGCGCAGAGATAAGGCAGCCCTGGGGATGAGGGCAGCCCCCCCGCTGGGGCCCACAGCCCTGAGTGCAGGTGATGAAAACCTGCACTAAACTGCGCATTGAAGGTCTCAGAACCTGAGGAGGAGGGAAACTGTCCACAAATCAGTTCTTTCTTGACAACAAAACATAGCAGGCGAGCTGGAAGGCGTCCTGCCCAGGAATCCCAGCTCTGGTTCAGCCTGGTCCGTTTAATTAACGTCCGGCATATGGAAGTAGGGAAAAACACATAAGAGATCGTATCGTATTTTCTATTGATCATCCAGCTTAGCTTTTCTCTTTCCATTGCTTTTTGTTTGTTTCTATAGAGAAGAATGGTTATCCACCCTACAAGAAACCAAAGAAAATCTAGATTATTTTTAAAGGAAACTTTAAGATTTGTTTTAAGGGAAACGTCTAGATGAGTAAGCCTGCAGGATAATTTGTGACTCAAACAAGTCCACGTGGTGTGTAATTGGGGAAACTGATCAAACCCACTCATCTAAGAGGGAGGTGAGGGGTTTCTGCTGTCTTAGGGCCCTGCTGGGACTCCACTAGTTGGACAAGTGGAATAAATGTTCAGGGGTATTTTCATCAGACTCACGGTTTAGAATCCTCAGAACCACTAGTCTAGCATTGCTGTCGGTCAGGTTAAAGGGAATTAGTTATTTAATACCAGCCGCAAAATATCTGGACTAAAATAATTACAACTAGCCTTTGTTAAATATATTGATGATCAAATAATGCAATAATAATCTTCCTCCTTTAGATCTTAAGCTTGAAAATTCTCATATGATCAGTGTCTCCCCTTTGCTGCCTCCCCTTTGTTGCCTAGCAACGTGCCGCTGGTCCTGAAATACTTGCATGTCCTATGTTGCTAATCTACCTAAAAGAACACGGATACATAAGCCCTGCATTCTCCTCTAGCTTAAAATAAGTTCGTTTCTGACACAACCCGAGAATAGGTACAACTCGAATCTTTCATCGACAGTTCTAGATTCTAAGTTGAGTTCGGCTACGAAACGAATCTTTGCTGTAGATCTCCACCTTGTGGTTAGATGTTTAAAAGGTAAATTCCTTTGGATTTTATTGTCCTGGTCTTTAGGTTGTTTTGAAAAGGAGGTCAGGGTGGAAATTGTCCGAAAATACCTTAGTGGAGGTGACATTGTCTGAGAACAGGTATTTAGAAATACCTGATGCCTGAGAACAGCTGATGTCTGAGAACAGAAACGTATCGTTCGGATCTGGCTGACTTCAGCATGAATTTTCTCTCTGAGGCCCTCGTTTGCCACACTTCATTCAACTACTTGAGAAATGAGTTTCGGGTTTCTTAAGGACCGAAGAGACTTTGAGAGGCCCCCTTGGAGTGGGTGCTGGTGGAGAAGGAACCAGTAAGAGGAATCTCCTCAGCACTCTGCCCACGCCTTCAGTGAACTCCAGTGGGGGAAGCCACAGACCCGCAGAGCTCACAACCTCAGACCCTGGTGAGGACTGTGAGCCCGTCTTCAGCAGGTGCTCACCTTTGTCCCTGCAAGCAGGCAGGTGACAAGGAGAACGTCCTGTGACTCGATTTCCTGTTTCCTCTGGACAATACAGACAAGCCGTGTGGCACCCACAGGGGTGGACGGTGGCCCTCTGTGAGCCTCAAGGCCGCGTCATGCCAGCGCTGAGTCCCGGCGGTGGCCCGATGAGCTGGGGTCGGGACAGAGCTCATCGGGTTTACCTGAGACTGCATGTATCTGTTTACTTAACAAAACCCAATATTTTGTTCTCCTCACTTGT